GGGCTGACATTCCAGCGCAGTGCTGGGGGAGGAGAGAGAGAGACAACTGCCCTCGTGGATGGATGTTAAAGATCTCATATATAATAATAATATGCCTTGCATTTGATATCCCATTTTTCACCTCGTCAACAGATCTCAGAGCTCCTTTAAAGTCCTGTAACCTATTGGTTAGAGCTCTCGCCTCGCAAGCGAGAGGACGCAGGTTCGATTCCCGGACAGGGCAAAACCTGAGGCAACTCTCCTTACTCCACATGCCTCGGTTTACCAGTAGTAAATAGGAACCCGGTTGTTAGTGGATTGGCAGATCGCTTTCCAGCGGTAATAAACCCTCGAAAGTAAAAATTAATTTGGTCTCTCAATCCACGACTGCTGACCGCAATCGGCTGCCACGTGTCGCCCACAAAATACAGTCAATTCACTTTACGGTGTATCCTGTGAAGCGCTTTAGATGTCTCGACGACGTGACGAGGCGCTGTGTCAAATGCAAGGATCATTATTAACATTTTGAAGCCTCAATTCCCCAGAACGCGGACTGACGGCTGCGCATCTCAGCCTCGCCAGAGCTGCAGCTCGTTTACTGCAGTTAATTGTTTGCGAGGAACATTCCCTGAAATTAGTGCACATCCCTGTGTTCATTAATCTCTCTCAATTGCATTGTAAAGGCGTTTTAAAAGCCCCCAACGCTCCGTAATTAGTGCCCAACTGAAACACAATGATTTATCGAGAGAAAATTCTCAACACAAAAGGGCTTCATGGCTTCATTCTCCAGCAAGTTGTGCCTCACATCCAATACCTTCCCTGTAACGTCACAACATCTCAAAGTGCTAATCAGATTTGGGACGTCCTCCCGACATGACAGCCCACGATATAAATAACATTAATCCTTACTTTTGATACAGCGCTTTATCACGAGAATTTTCTCTCGACAAACCATATGAGTTTCGGTTGGGGCGTTAGTTACGGAGCGTTGGGGGCTTCTAAGGCAGAGAAGGGAGGGAGCAAGAGAGAGGGAGCGAGAGAGAAAAAAAGGAAAGATAAGAAACAAAGAGGACTTTCGGTGCTTCGCCACTTGGTCTGCAGCTGTTAATTCAAAGTCCGAATTAAAAAGGGAACCTTCCTTTCCATTACGTTATCGAGCGAGCAGTCTTTAACATACAGCAACTCGGGAATTCAACACGAACAAAGGCATGAAAGAGACATCTGATGTTTCTTCTTCATAAAACTCGCTTCAATCCCAGCAGAACAAACAGCACCAACATTTCGACTCCCTTTTCTTATCCCACAATCTCTTGCGATCGCCGGCCGAGGATTATCCTTACAGTTGTATTTTTGGATCAGAAATGCCGTTTAACAACTCGCTTTCTCACCGAACATGGAAGGTTCCAGGCTTGCCGGCTGTCAGCCGCGAAAGTCCGAGAGTGAGAGAAAGAAAGAGGGAGCTAAGAACACAGGAACAGGAGGAGGCCACTCAGCCCCTCGAGCCGGTTCTGCTATTCTGAAAGATCACGGCTGATCTGTATCTCAACTCCAATCACCAGCCTTTGCCCCGTACCCCCCGACCCCCTGACCGAACAAACACCTCCACCTCAGTCTTGATAATGTGAATGGATCCACAGCCACAAACCACAGCCTTTTGGGGGAGGGAGAGGGTTCCAGATACCCACTGAGCCTTTGGGTGAAAACCTGCCTCTGATTTCACTCCTAAATGGCCTGACTCTAATGTTAAGATGATGCCCCAGCTGTCCTGGATTCCACCCACACCCCACCCCACCCGCATCCCCCACCAGAGGAAATTGTTTCTCTGTCACTACCCCATTGAATCCTGTTATCATTTTAAACACCTCAATCAGAGAGAGAGAGAGAAATGGGAAACTTCTCAATTGCAAGTGACTTGCAATTTATTTCTGCCACCCAGACATGGAAATTTTTCTGAGTCTGGGATGAAATGAAATGAAATGCTCGCTCTGGAAGGCCGGCCCCTGCTTGACTTAATCCCGGAGAGTATGAGGCGCAAGTTGACAAGAGCCAAGGCTTTTGGGGACCCCGGAGTGTGCGTTGAGGGGCTGACCACCTGAGCTAAGAACTGCACACAGCTGGGAGCAAGCTCCTTGTCCAGCTCGGACTGTTAGGGCTTTGGCTTGTAGGGTTAACATTTAGCTGAGTGGGAAGAATCTCTGCTCCCTGCACTGCTCCCCCAAGGCTGGGCTGGTCTGTAGTGGACCCTCCTGGCTCAGGAGCTGGACTAGAGACCATCGCAGAGGCATTGCTCACTCTTAGTCAGAGCTGAGGAGCTCATCAAGTGTAACGCAGCCTGCTATTTATGAGCTGTTAGAGACAAGCTGCTTACCGAATGATTGTACTCATCAGCGCTCACAAATGGCACCTTGATAGCAGAAGGCAGACGGGATAGGAAATGTTTCAGGTAATATAAAACGTCCAAAAAGAAAGTGCCCTTTTCCAAATCAACGGGGAAAGTCATTAACCATCATAAATATTCAATGATCTTGTCTATGCCTATGGTTTTATTATTCCCCTAACTCAGCTCCTTATATATTCCGGCGCCTTGTTAAAAGTTTAATCAGTTATTATTAACTTCACTCGTGCGGGTAGCAATGATGAGGCACCTTCCCACAGAGACAGCTCTGGGTAGATGATAACGAGCCTCACATTTAGGACATTGCCGTTCACGTCACGACAAAGTGCTTCCCAAGATTTTACCACCAAGTGTAGTGACTGGGTGTTTTTGCAGGCAAATGCAACAGCCGATTTGCGCACAGCAACTTCCCCAGAAACTCACACAGTCTAAGATGACATGAGAGTCAGCGCTGGGGTGGGGTGGGTGGTGGTGGGGGGGTGGGGGGGAGCTGGGTTTCGGACCAGACGTTAAATAATGATAAAAATAATAATAATCCTCGGATTTGACACAGCGCCTCATCACGTCATCGAGACGTCTCAAAGCGCTTCACGGCACACGCTGTAAGGTGGAGTGACTGTGTGTTTTGTGGGCGAAACCCGGCAGCCAATGCTTGAGATTATTAAGTTTTTGAGCGAGTCTTTCTCCCGCCGGTGGCTTAGCCTCTGTGTGTTGTAGATAGAGAGGAACTCCACAGCCATTCATTGCAATCCACCACTCAGCCTCCGCAGGTTCCAGATAAAGCACTTCACAAGACTCAGATCTGCCGTGAGAGCATTTGCTGAGCGTTCGAGTTAATTACGGTTCTTGAGGGTGGCCTCTCACTGGCACAAGCACTTCAACATTTTAATTCCTCGGGTGTCTGACAGCAACAACAGCTTGGATTTATATAGCGCCCTCCACACCGGACGGCGTCTCAGAGCGCTTTACGGTAACAGATCCCGGGGCCAAGCCAGCGGGAGGGGTGTGTGGGGGGGGAGTGGGGGGGAAGGTGATCAAATGAGCGGTCGAAAAGAAAGGTCTTTAGCCGAGACCTGAAAATAGGAAGAGAGTGGGCGAGGGGAAGGGAGTTCCAGAGCTTCGGGGCATAGTGGCTGAAGGCACGGCTGCCGAGGGTGGAGCGGAGGACTCGGGGGACGAGGAGGAGGCCAGACCCAATGGAACGAAGGCAATGGGCACTGTTTTGAGGAGAGAGGAGATCAGAGAGGTCGGGGGGTGCAGAGGAGTGGAGGGATTTGAAGACAAGGTGAGGATCTTGAAGTCGATCCTCTCTGGGACAGAAGCCAGTGCAGTCTGGCCACAAGACTGGGGGGATCGGGGAGCGGAGTTTGGTGCGGGTGAGAATGCGCGCGGCAGAGTTTTGTATGACCTGGATTTTATGGATGGTACTGGAGGGGAGACCGGCGAGGAGGGCATTAGAATAGTCCAGCCGAGAGGTGACAAAGGGATGGACCAGGGTTTCAGCGGCTTTTGGAGTGAGATATTGGTGGAGACAGGCGATGCGTCGGAGGTAATAGAAAACAGTGCTGGTGAGGGACCGGATGTGGGAGAGGAAGGATAATTGGGGGTCAAACCTGACGCCTAGTCTCTGTAATGTCGGCGGGGCGGAAACCGGACTGGAGGGGCTCGAAGAGGGAGTGGGAGGAGCGGTGTCCACAGAGTTGATTTGCAACAACGCGTTAATAATAATAATAATAATAATCCTTGCATTTGATATAGCGCTTTTCACGTCGGGAGGACATCCCAAAGCGCTTCACAGAACACACTGTAAAGTGAATTGACTGTATATTTGTGGGCGAACGCGGCAGCCAATTGCGCACAGCAATGTCCCACAAACAGTAGTAGATTGAAAATGACCAATTTATTATTGTTTTTGGTTTTGGAGGGATTATTATTAGGCTCTGTGTGGAGTAAGGAAACTTGCCCAAGGTTTCGCCCTCTGCCTGGAATTGAACTCAGGTCTCCCACTTGCAAAGCGAGTGCTCTAACCACTGAGCTACAGGACTCCACTGGACTTAACACTGGCAGAGCTTAACCGCAAGACAAGCAGCGGGAGGAGGTGTCTGAAGTCAGGCAAGGAGGGGGTTAAGAGTTGCGTAGTTTCAGGGCTGAAAGCACAGCCGCCCAGTGACACACACGGAGACCCATAGATAGAGGAAGCAAATCATCACAGACTTAGAAAGAATGAACCTGCGTTTTCTACATTATCGATATCTGTGAAACCCCTCAGAGCCTCTCACAGATCATCACACACCGAGTTTGGGGAACGGGGAATGAGATGCCACAGAAGGCAAAATCCCTTAGGAAAGGCAGTGTAGAAATGTAATTGACGTTGTTGATTGGATTAATTCAGGTATAAGATGAAAATGCAGAGCTGCTTAAACATAATAATCTTACGTTTGGTTTAGAGTTCATCAAATCAAAATAACGCAAAGCATTTAATGCTTCAGATCAAGGTGTCAGCCGGGCTCGGTTGGTATCTCTGTTGTATCTTGAGCCAGAAGCTTGACTGTTCTCCTGTGCTATAATTTTGATGAATTAATGATCCCGTTGTAACATGATATTTTCTCCATGGTGCACACTGAAATCCACTGGTCCTGACCCTCTCAGGGACCAATACCTTACAGAGGTTGAAGTGATGCTGGAAAATCATCGATTCTCACGTTGTACTTTTCCTCAATGTCTTTTTTGATTTCACTCCACGGTACGTTCCAGTCATCAATGCGTGTCGCTGGGTTCACTCCATATTTCTTTGCAAAACTTTTGTTATGGGTGTAGAAGACCCGTTTCCAGTAGGGGGGCACCCCAGTATCCCTGCTTTTGGGGATGACCCATGTGTGGCTGATAGATAACTGTGATTTCAACCAGGGATCTTCTTCTCTGTACAAACGCAATGCAATATAGGATGTATCTGAACAACTGTTGGTTACAAGAGTCTTCCAAAAGCTCCAGCGATAGCCACGTAGTCCCTCTGGCAAGTGATAATTTGCCGAGTGCTTCTCATGATTGTGGTCGGTGCAATCACATAAAACTCCACAGTAAGGACATTGCTCCCCACAGCCAGACAGCATGTCATACAGCAACTTCCATGGAGCTACAGGAAGCTCTGAGACTTTGGATCTGACATTCCATCCCTTAATGGTATTTGAAAGATCATTTTTCAAACCATTGGCCAAATCTTTCAATTCATCCACAAAACATGGAGCGTTTCTCACAATGTCCTGATTGGTGAACTTGTCCTGAGGTAACACAATTATTCCTTCCATTGCTTTCCTGAACTCAGTCAGAAAGGTCCAGGCTGTCAATTCTTTGTGGGTATCAATGTCTCGGATTGCTTTCTGTATTGAATGTACAGCTGGTTCCAGAATACCCATAGCCAGATTGTGAAGGAGCGTTGCTTCCTGCTCTGAGTTTTCACAGTACCTCAGGACTTGCTCTTCCACCCAATCCTTCTCAAACTTGTGGGTATTTTTGATATATTGATAATAGTCTTCAAAGCAGTTTTTCTTTTTCAAATCCAACATTATCCCCACTTGTAGGTTCCTGCGTGACTTGAATTCTTCTGCGTTTTGCGTGCTCTTAATATAATCCACAATGGCCCGTCCCAATTTCTGATTAAGATCGGCAATCATTGCTGGTTTGATGTAAGAATTAAGGTATAATTCAGCACAGGATTGACTTTGATCTTTCTGATTGTACAGATTTACAAAGATCTGTTTGTAGAATTTCTTATCGGCTTCAAAACTTTGCAGGGGATCATTTTTCTGTCGGAAAGAATTGTGTATCTGTTGGAATCTCTGAACTCCAATGCCACAAATGTGCAATTTAAAAGATGTCCTGAACGTTTCAGTGAAGCTGAATCTTGGAAAGTCACAGTCTAAAATTATGTCCAAATTTCGGAGAATTGTTTTGCAATATTTGGGATCGTAATTCATATCTTGTTGTATTGTCTTCTCCATTTCTTCTTTGCTTTTCAAGATCAATATTTCTGCCTGTTCTTGTGCTTCTTTCACACAGCAATTCAGGAATTCTGTTTCCTGCTTGGACTCATAGAGAATATTAGACATGTATCTCCATGCACGGTTAGTCAGGGATCTCACAGCAATATGCTCCTCATTGACTTTGAACTCCAACTTGCCCCACTCGTCAAGAGATTTGTCTTTGAGGTTCTTGTATAAGCTGCCTCTATGTGTGTTCACATTCTCCTTCAAACTTATTTCCATGTCCAAGGGAATGTTGGCTACCTTTGGCTCGTAGACCTTTAGTGGAGAAGTGGCCTCAGCCCACATGGTTTCAAAAGCCTGGTGCTGCTCATTTTCATCCTGGTCTTTTGTTTTCTGTTTCAAAGACTGGACGAGCTGAGTGACTTTGTCTTCAATCACTTTGTTATATTGATTCTTGATAGCTTGCAGTTTCTTCCTACCTTCTTGTCGCTGCATAGAGTTCTTCATTTGTTCTTGTGAATCCTCATTAAGCTTTTTACACAAGATGTCAATGTTCATCTTAAACTGGTCTTTGTAATCCTGAATCAGATGGGCTTTCTTATTCTGTGCGCTGAACCAATGTTCCAATGTTTCGATAACTTTGGCTTTCGTTGTTTCCATCACTTCCAGCAGCTCATTCCTTAACACGGCCAACAAATTCTCAGGATTCTTCTCTTCGGTTTTGATTCTCTCCTGAGCCTTGTCCACGAAGTCATAGACCTTTTTGCGTAGTTCCCATTCCAGATCACTGTACTTGACAGAAAGGTCATTGTAAGCATCAACTTCAAGACAATTCCGGAAACTGAAGATGAAATTTTCGTGCTTCACTGCATTCCACAGGTTTGTGAAGTTTCTTATAAACTGAGTGACTGTGGACGCGTTTCTCTGTGTGAACTTTTCCAAAACACATTGTTTCAACTCCACCAACTTCTGGCTATACCCGATATTGACTGCAGCCATTGGGGGGTTCCCATGCCACAGCCCTGGGATATACCAGTTATCTTTATCAGGATTGTAGTCTATAACATTAGAAAATTTAGAGATAGAACCTTCTACTTTCTCAATCTTAGCTGCAATCGAGGTCATCTTGTCTAAGCGGTCATTCAAACGTTTCCGATTTCCCAAGTTCTGTTCATGTGCAGAAACGTCCCCAGTGTTCTGATGGACAAATTGGCAAATGGGTTTCTTGCCCACTTCTGACATGCGGATAAATGCGTGGACAACTATTTGCAGCACATCCTCCATTTCCGAGGGGCTCTCCATGGACATGTTAATTAAAGTTAAATCACTCATTCCAATCACTAAGGTTGCCAGCTCATTGTCGTGTTCATGGGTACCTCCAATATCAGACACTTGTTGTTTCAGGCCCTCTGTGTCAATGACCAGGATGAAATCACAGCCAAGTTTGGTCTTCAAATCTCCCACAATTGGAATGAGTTGGATGAAGGCTCCTCGTGTGCACCGTCCACTGCCTACAGCAAACTGCAACCCAAACATGGTGTTGAGAAGTGTGGACTTCCCAGTGCTCTGTACTCCCAACACTGTCAGCACAAAGACCCGACATTCTCCTCCCTTCGTCTTTTCCACTTGTTTGAGCACCTCAGTGACCCAGTCCACAGCTACACCACAAACATCTCCATCTATGAGCTCCAGTGGGAAGCCATCTAACAGCAGCTCAGCAGCAATCACTGGAAGCTTTGTGATATTGGAGGAGTTTTCATTCAACGCCATGAATGTTTCATAAACAAGCCCGATTTCACGTAGGAAATGTTCCAGCCCTAATGAGCGCTGTACATCAAGATCTTGAGGAGCTTTTTGATCCTCTGAACTTTCACACTGTTGCTTTTTCGTGAGATTTTGCCATGACATAGAATCCAACTCATATTTCATCAAGTACAGGAAATGTTTCCTCTCATTTCCAGAGTTTGTAGCAAGTTTTTGAATCATTTTCTCCACCACATCTGACACCCCTTTCTGAAACAATTCCTTCCGAATTTCTCGAATTTGTTTCTTCTGTTTATCAATGTATGTGGCCACACTCTGTTGTCCCACGTTTCTGAGGCAACAAATCTCCTCTTCTATTTTGGATATTTGCATCCAATCCTTTCCCTGAAAATACAACTTGCTTTGTTTGAACTCTGCAATGTCTTCTGTTGGAAAGAAACGAAGGACAGTTCCTGAACTTGTTTTCCCTTCTTTACATTCATTGTCATCTTCATCTATTTCCAACCCAACCTGCCAAGCACAGGAAGCCATCTCAGCTAAACTCTTTATATCTGACTGTCCATTGATGTTGTCCAGTATAGTATTTATTTTCTTCTGAACATTTTGCACAAAGGTAGCATCATTTCCCTGCCTCCGTAACAGAACATGGTTCATTGTGATTCTCTTTTCTTGAGACAATCTCCTCAAATGCTGTTTTGTGGTCTCCACTTGATCTTTCTCAGGATTCACAATCAGATATAGTTTCTGTTGTTCAAAGGACAATTTGGACAAGGCATGTACTTCCTTCTCTGTGATATTGTCCACACAGATAAATACAGCAGTCGAGACTCTAGTTAAGAATTTCACTTGACTGGTAAACTGTGCTGCATCGCCTCGAAGGTTCATCACAGTAAGAGCTTTGGGGAAGATTTTCATCTCCTCTATTACTCCAGGCAGGTACCAGCACACCTCAATCAGCCCATCTGAGACCTTCCGGGGGACATTGGCACATTCCATGTTGCAATGAATAAAGAAATCGTTGTGTTGCTGAGAGGGGCTGAGAATGTCATTTAAGTATTTCGATTTAGACATGGAGCAGCGACCCAGGCGAATGAATGCAATGGATGGAAGATTGAAAGACATCATTTGTGCTTCTTTGAATCTGTTTTGCTTTGCTAACTGAGAAGGACACCATTTTTTTACAAGGGAACGCATAGAATTCAGGAGAAACAGGATTTTTCCCTCTGTCCCAGGCAGCAGAAGAGGTACTGCAAACTGACATGTGGACATCTTCATGACCAGCTCCTGTTTGAGGAAGGGATCTGCACACAGGAATATTGCAGTGATGACATCTAATGGATTAAAATCCAAAGTTTCCATTGGCTCATCAAAAAGGTTGTCAACTTCATCACCTTCACTTCTTTCTTCTGGTGATCCAGTTAATTTTATGCATCTGGCAGTGGAATTTGCAGTTATTAGCTTCCTGAAGAAATACCAGGGAATATCCTTGTGAGCTCTGGGTAACCTATCTGGTAGTGGCTCTGCTCTGACCTCCAACACTTTGTTCACAGTTAGCTTCTGGGGAAAGTATTCCTGCAATCCCAGGTCTGTTAGTAATTGATTATATACACTGTCTTTACATGACACATTGGTTTCTGTGTCTGGCACACATGAGAAGGAAGGCTTCTCATTATAAAAATAATTCTGTATAGATTGTTCTTCAACATGTTTCATACCAATTTCAAATCTGCTTTCCAAACATTTTTTGAGAGAATGTATTGTTATTGTTTGATTAGGACATTCTCCCAGACTTTCAGTTGGCAATGCATTACCTTTATCATTGAGTGGTCTTTCACCTTCAGAAAGCTCCCTTGTGTGTTCACTAACTGCAAATCCTATGTCTCTAGCCACCTCGGCCATCTCCTCTAAGCTCTTCTCTGGATAATCATTCTTTCCCAGCAAGCCCTCGAGTTTAGATCGAAGCTCTTGTATGAATATTCCACTGGTCTTTTGGGATTTGGATACAATCTGCTTCTCGGATAAGAAGTTATGTTTGAACAACTTCTTAAGATTCAGTTGTGTGACTTCAACGTGGCTGGAGTTGGGATTGATTAACATGACGAGCTTCTCTGGAGATTGGATGAGTGAAGTCAGAATTCCTTGTACTTTATTGTCCACATTATCCACACAGACAACCACAACAGCCGAGATTCTAGTCAAATAGCTCACATGCTTGGGAAACTGTTTAGCATCTCCATGCAGGTTCATCACAGCCAGAGCTTTGGGGAAGCTTTTCAGCTCCTCCGTCACTCCGGGCAGGTACCAGCACACCTCAATCAGCCCATCTGAGATCCTGCGGGGGACATCAGCACATTCCATGTTGGAATGGATGAAGAAATTGTGGTGTTGCTCAGACTGACTGAGAATGTCATTTAAGAGTTTGGATTTAGACATGGAGCAGCGACCCAGGCGAAGGAAAGCAATGGTTGGAAGCTTTGCATTAGTTATGTGTTGCTCTCGAGGTCCAAGCTTCATTGCCTGAGGGTGGTACTTTGTCACAATGGAACATAGGGGCCCCAGAAGAAACATTGGGGACTCTCCGAGACCTGGCAGGAGAAGTGGTAATGCAAAGTGGCTCATCGACATCTTACTCAACAGCTCTCGTTGGAGTGAGGGATCTGCACAAAGGAAGACAGCGGTGATGACATCTAAAGGGTGAAATGCTATCTCTTGGGACATCAGACTGCCTGGAGGAGAATTCAATCCATCAGTGGCCTTTCTGTCCTCTTGTGCACAGTCCAGGATTGTCCCAATTGGTAGGGCCCTAGCGTTGGTATCAGCCTTCATCACCATCCTTAGGAAATATCTGGGAATCTCCTGAGGAGCGATTGGTCGATTCTCCATAAACGGCTCCTTCCCGAGCTCCAAGACATTGTTGAGGGAGAGTTTGTTGGGATAAAAGTCCCGTAGCCCCAGGTCTGTTAGTAGCTGATCAAGTCTGAGTTCAACAGAATTGGAAAATAGGACAGGGCGACGTTCTTCAATTGAACTCTCCATCTCTGAATTTATTGTTCAGTTTGGGACTACCTTGCACATGACAAGGACTGGATGGCCTGGCTGGGCTTCTCCTCTTCTATGTTTCCATGCGAAAGGTAAAAACTCAATGTGTGTCCCTGCTTTCCTCATTAGCAAACCATCCGCTGGCTCTTCATCTTTACTGATGATGCCTGTTTTTCCTGTAACATAATAAAATAATAATAGTAATCCTTGCATTTGATATAGCGCATTATCACGTCTTCAAGACATCTCAAAGCGCCCCACTGAATAGACCAAATAGTAAAGTGCATAGTGGACAAGGCCATCTCGGACCACTTTTTCATCTCCTTCTCCTCTCACATCCCTCTCTCCTCCAGCAGCACATCTGCACAAACGGCTTCTCCTCTCGTTCTCACCCGGTTACCTGTGGGGTACCCCAAGGATCTATCCTTGGCCCCCTCCTCTTTCTGATCTACATGCTCCCTCTTGGGGATTTCATCCACAGACATGGGGTACATTTCCACATGTAGGCAGGCAACACCCAACTCTATTTTTCCACCTAACTTTTCGACCCCCAGTCCCCTGATGTTCTGTCAGCTGCCTGTCAGACCTCAGGGGCTGGATGAGCGCAAACTTCCTTCAGCTGAACGTTGACAAGACGGAAGCCATACTCTTTGACTCTCGTCAATGTCTAAAATCTCACAGCTCTCACCTCCTCCACATACCTGACCCCCTAAAACTCTCCAAACCCGTATGCAACCTTGGTGTCAGGTTCGACAACCAATTATCCTTTTCCCCCACATCCGGTCCCTCACCAGCACCGCCTTCTACCACCTCTGATGGTCTCCGCCCGTCTCCACCAATACCTCTCCCCAAAAGCCGCTGAAACCCTGGTCCATGCCTTTGTCACCTCTCGGCTGGATTACTCCAACACCATCCTCGGCGGCCTCCCATCCACTACCATCCATAAAATTCAAATCATTCAAAACTCTGCCGCCCACATTCTCACCCGCACCAAACTCCTCTCCCCGATCCCCCCAGTCCTGGCCAGACTGCACTGGCTGCCTGTCCCAGAGGATCGATGTCAAGATCCTCACTCTTGTATTCAACTCCCTGCACTCCTTTGCACTCCCCGACCTCTCTGACCTCCTCTCTGCTCAAAACAGTACCCGTTGCCTTCGTTCCTCCGGGTCTGCCTCCTCCTCGTGCCCTGAGTCCTCCACTCCACCCTCGGCGGCCGTGCCTTCAGCCACTATGCCCCGAGGCTCTGGAACTGCCTTCCTCACTCCCTTCACCTCGCTCTCTCCCTTCCCATTTTCAGGTCTCTTTCTTTTCGACTGCGCCTTTGGTCACCTTCCTCCCCCTCCCCCCGGCCCCTCCCCCTCCCCCCAGCTTGGTCCCGGGATCCATTACTATAAAGCGCTCTGAGACGTCGTCCGGTGTGGAGGGCGCTATATAAATCCAAGTTGTTGTTGTTGCCTAAGGTTTCGCCCTGCTCGGGAATCAAACACAGGTCCTCTTGCTTGCGAAGCGAGTCCTCTGACCACTACACCCACAGGACTCCACTATCTGCTCACTATCTACACTCCACGTGTTCAAAAGAAAGCACACCTTTCATTAATCCGCTGACATCAAAGTAACATCAGACATGTATATTTACCATGAAATTGTGACGAAAAGTTTCGCTCTAACATTTCAATAAATAAAGATGAATTTTGTAACTCCTTCCACCTCCCCCTCCACAATTCCTAGTGGCTCAGTAATTTTACGCAGTGAATAATACATTTAAACACAGCATCTATAATGTGAAGACATCCCAAATGCCTCATGGGGAATTGTTGTAAAGTGTAGAAACTGTATAGTTTTAGGCAAAAAGTTGTATTTTAAAACAACAAATTCCCTTCAACAATAAAACAAAAGAACAAAAACTTGCATTGATATAACCCCTTTCATTCAGGCAGTGTCTCAGAGCGCAAACAGCCAGGAGGAAATACTTGGGAATGTCCTCAGGAGCGTTGGCTAACTCTCTGGCAGTGGTTCTGCTCTGATCTCCAACACTTTGTTCACAGTTAGCTTCTTAGGAAAATTGGTTTCCAATTAAAGACTCCAACTTCTGAATTACTGTTATCATTGAGTTTGGTAACTACTTTGCAGATGACATGGACCAGATGGGGTAAAAATCACAACTATAGACAATAACAAACCGTACGCTGGCTCTTCATCTTCACTGAGGTTCTACTGATGCCTGTTTTTCCCTATAGCATAAAGAGTGTAACATATCTTTCACTTAGATTCTGGCAGCCAAAAGGTTGGACTACCCAGTGTGTTGCTCACCAGTCAACAGTTTCTGCCCATTCATTTGTGGCATACCCCAGGGCTCTATCCTTGGCCCCCTCCTCTTCCTCATGTATATATGCTCCCTCTCGCTGATTTCATCTGCAGACACATCATCAACTTCCGCGTATATCCAGATCACACACAAATCTACTTCTCCTCCAACTGCAACTCCAGGTTCACTAATATTCTGTTGGCTTGTCTGGCAGACATCAGGGCCTGGATGGGCGCAAATCTCTTACAATTAAATGTTGACACTAAGGAAGTCATACTCCTTGACTCCCATCATCGTCTTCTTTCCTGCAGCTCTGACCACAGCAATCCCACAGCCCTCCTGCTTAATAATAATAATCCTTGCATTTGATATAACCCCAAAACTCTGGAACACTCTCCCTCAATCCCTCTGGCTTGCCCCCACCCTCTTCTGTTTCAAGTTCTTCCTGAAAACCTTCCTATTCAACCATGCTTACAGTCATCTCCCCCACCCCCACCCATCCCTGCCCCAGCTCGGAGTCAGACATCACCACTGTTAAGTGCACTGAGATGCTATCCTGTGTGCAAGTTGTTGTTGTTAACACCTCGTTGAGAATCTCAAAGCTTAAAAGTGTCACTGCCTTCTCACCTCAGGCATTAACAGCATCACCATCCATGGATGCACTCAACCCCTCACTGTAGCAACTTATTTGACCCTCAACTGTACTTTATCCATCCTTTATGCCATAGTCTGTTGTGCTTTCCCCCACCTCCACAACTTCACCTGTTTCCGTCTCTGCCTTTCTGCTTGGGCCGCCGAGACTTCATCCTCGCACTCATCACATCCAGGCTCAATTACGCTAACTCCCCGATTGCTAGTCTTCCAAACTCTTCCCTCCACAAGCTACAGACCATACAGAACTCTACAGCTCGTGTCCTCTCCTGCACTCGGCTCTGTGAATCTCCTCCCAAAATCAAAAATGCTATACAACATCTCGTTTACAGCTTCTCAAGTATGCACAAAATTGACAGTGGCCGGAGAGCGAGCGAAGTGTGAAATAGGGAGAAAAGGCAACAGACGAGGAGAAAGCTAACAAAGTAGAAATAAAAACATTACAAACAGAGCAAAACAAAATGGGGGAGAAACAGAGATTGAGAAGAGAAGGCTGTTCACGCAATACAAAAAAGGAGGGAAAAAACGAGGTGGGAAGAGACAGAGATTGAGAACCCCAAACAACTGAAAAAAAGAGTAAAATAAATAAAGACGTTGGGCGGGGGTGGGGGGAGGGGTGGTGAGAGTTTGGGAAGAGAAGGTGACTCGCACAATGCAATCCACACATCCAGGCTCAGTTACGCTAAATCCCTGATTGTCAATCTTCTAAACGTTTCCCCCCACAAGCTACAGATCATATAGGACTCTACAGCTCGTGTCCTCTCCTGCACTCGGCTCTGTGAACCTCCTCCCAATCTCAAAGGCATTATACAACATCAATAAAACAGGGGAAGGACAGAGATTGAGAAGAGAAGGCCACTCAGCAATACAAACAACTAAAAAAAGGCGGGGAAAAACAGGGAAGGGGGAGATAGAGATTTAGACGGCCACAGCCAAACAACTGAAAAAAACAGCAAAATAATTAAAGAGGTTGGGCGTGGGGATGGTCAGAGATGGAGATGAGAAGGCCACCCGCACAATGCAATGCAGTTGTTCTGTGTTGTTGCCATTTTGTCAGTTGTGTCGCAGTGTGATTGTGACGCAGATTAAATCTGTAAAATGTCTGACTGAGTACATCTGACCGAAGTCTGCCTCGGAAGTGTGGGAGCGGTGTTAAAAAGCGCAAAGCACAACAATTAAAATATCTTCCTGAGAAACGTTAAACACAACACCAAAGATGACAAACTATTTTAATAAGATACCAACAAATGTTTGAGGAGGTGATCACAGCCGTCCTTCAGAAAATACATCTGTGACTAATCAACAGCAGGAAATGACCAACACTGATAGACCACAATGTGAGTTACTGGCAAATCCTTGCTTTACATTCTCCAGTGAGTCGGTTGTAGAAGAGAGTGCAATCACCGCACGTGAAGAGCAAGGGAAAGAATTAGTGGATAAAATCGATTCACATTGTCCTGATGCTGCACTCGGGCCCAGAAACTTTGAGGGAAAGAGGCGATGACCTGTAGGAAAGTGAAAAGCCCTTACCAGTGATCCCTGCTGTTAGTTCTCTGCTGGTTTTCTGGAGTTTCCCGGTTTCCGTGACCACCTCCTGACTGCAGCCGCCCACCTCTGGCTGAGAATCTCCACTTGTGCAACAGAGACTGAAAGTGAAACCAATATTTCAACAACTTCAAGATTTAAAAAAAAAGCATTTATCTGCGGGTACAAGAGGAAGCTGGAGGGTGGGACCACAAGCTCTGTCTCTCTCTTCCCTCACTGCCCCTGTGATGAGCCCTGAGAGGGCCGATTCATCCGGTTCAGAACCTCTCTTCTGTTATCCACGTTCCCTCATCCATGTCCTTGCCTGGTTTCACTCTTATCTTTCCCATCATCTTCACTTTGTAACCACTTACGGTTTCGCCTCCAATCCTCACATCATCATGTGTAGCGTTCCTCAGCGTTTGGGGAATATCATCCACAGGCATGGTGTTAACTTCCAATTAAAGGCAGATGACGCCCAACTCTGTCTCTCTGCCTCCAACCTTGACTCCAGGTGCATTGCTGTCCTACAGATTGTCTGTCAGACCAAGGCCCTGATGAGAGCCAGTTTTCAACAACAACAACAACAACAAGATTCCATTTATAGAGCGCCTTTCACGTCAGGAGGACGTCCCAAGGCGCTGCACAGTTTTCTTCAGTTGAATGTCGACAAGACCGAGATTCTCCTGATTGGCTCCCGTCAATGCCTCCATACCTCAGGCACTGACAGCATCACTGTTCATGGATGCACTCTCCAACTCACCAAGCCAATATTGAGCCTTGATGTCTTGTTTGATCACCAACTATCCAGGCTTGACTAAGCTAACTCCCTGCTTGCTGTATTTCCCAACTCTTTCTTCCACAAGTTGTGGATTACTGGCTTCCTATGTTTCAGATGATTGATCTCAAGATCCTTGTCCTCACTTTTAAAGCCCTCCGTGATCTTTCTACTCGCTACTTCTGCGACCTACAAACCTTTACCACCCTGTCCGCTGTCTCCGCTCGAAGGGCACTGGCCTGCTACATATTCCCCACGTTGCCTTCTCTACAATCGGCAGTCGGGCCTCCAGCCTTTCTACCTTTCACCCTCTGAAACTCCATCCTGGAGCCCCTCCACCTCATCCCGTTGTTTGAAGACCATCTCAAGACTTTCCTCTTTGACCATGATTTGGTCATTCTCCTACCTCCACCCCTCTTGGCTACAACCCCCAGTTCTGGTGCAAACCTTTCACTGTCCAGCTCCTTGGGACATCCTCCAGATAAAATGTGCTGTGTAAATGCAATTGTTCGTTGTTATTGTAAATGCAAACGTTATTAAAAAAATAATACTTTGTTTAATATTTCACCTTTCATGACAGGATAATGTCTCAAAGCAATTCACAGTGTATGTTGTGAGGTATCATCTTGCATTGTAGGACAAGATGATCTCATTGATTAACCTATATGTGATTTTAGGCCAATAGAACTATTGTGTTCCAGGAGTTTTAATTAGAATTACATAATAATAGTAATCCTTGCATTTTATATAGTGCCTTATCTCGTCTTTCAGACATATCTAAGCGCTTCACAGAATATACTGTAAAATTAATTGTCCGTATGTTTTGTGGGTGAAATACGACAGCAAATTACACAGAGCAGTGTCTCATAAACAGTCGTGGATTGAAGTTATCAATTTATTACTTTTTTTGAAGGAATTATTACCCCCTGGAAAATTGATCCACCAATCGACTAACTACCAGGTCCTACTTACTACAAGGTAAACAGAGGCGTGTGGAGTAACGTAACTTGCCCAATGTTTTGCCCTGATGGGAATCGAACCCAGGTTCCTGTTTTTGAGGCACGTGCTCTAACCACTGATCTACAGGACTCCACATCTGAATAGATGGACGGACGAGTGTTATGGACTTAACCCTTTATTTCCCATCTGGGTATCAACAACAAAAGACACAATCTAGTTTAACTAAACTACTTTATTGATGACAAGGAAGACAAAGCGTTGAACACAATGTAATTTGTGAAAGAGTGAAGCAAAGTTATTAACACATTAAATACAGTTGCCACAACACACTGAGGCCACAGGATGAATGTGAGTATGTGAGGGGTGGGAATATGTGGTGGAGTGTTGTGTGTGCATTGCATAAAATTGGTGTATGTGGGGGGGGGGTCGGGTTGGTATTTGTGACTATGTTGGGTGCAGGTGAGTTGGGCTGTGGTGACACAGACATACAACACCTTGCACCCTTCACGCGGGGCAGTGTCTTGGAGCGCTTAACAATGGCAGAGTTTAGCCAAGGAGAGGGTACAGGTCACCATAGACACAGTTAAAGAGGAAGGTCACAGGCAAAGATGAGTGCCATAGTTTCAGGGCATAGTGGCTGGAAGCACAGCTGCCAACATGGAGGTGAGTGGATGAGGGAAATGCAGGAGGCGGCAGCCAACCGAGCGGAGTGGGTGGGCAGCGGAGTTGGGTGTGAGCAGGTCGGAGAGGTAGAAAGGTGCCAGAGTATCAAATGATTTGCAAATGAGTGTGAGGATCTTGAAGTCAACCTATTCTTCGATAGGGCGGCAGTGGAGCATGGCGAGGGCTGGGGTGATGGGGGCATGGAAATCAAAATCGATGTGAGTGATGATAGGGGCGAAGGGTGGGGAGTGGGAGTGGGATTCATTTTTGGGGGCTGGTGGGTGCTCAGGTCAGAGGCGGCAGCTGGAACTCACACAACAACTCCGAAGCAAAGGGATCGGGGCACATGGTCACCCCGGATGCATGGACGGGGTGAGAGGGGGCAGCGCAGAGGGACGTGGGGCAGTGGGGGAGTAGCGCTCACAGTTTCATTTATTAATTAGGACAAGAGCTCCGACCGAATGAGTAATTTAGTGAGGGTTTGAGAGAGAGAAAAGAGCGATGGAAAAAAAGAGAGTAAAAAGAGAGATGAGAAAAAGGTGGAAAAAGAGGTGGAAAGAAAGAGGGGAGAAAGAGAAAAAGACATTCAGAGAGGAGTGAGCGAGAGAGAGAGAGAGAGAGAGAGAGAGAGAGAGGGCGGTGGGTGGGGGGGGGTGGGGGGGAGTGGGGGGAGATCCTGGGGGGTAATAAAAAGAAACTGAAACCCCAATCCCCACCCTGAAGGTTTGACAATCAGGAGGTTTGAAAACCGCGTGAGAGGGCGGAAGTGACGTCCGTGATTTCAGCCGTTTGGTTTAGGCGGGAAAGTTCATTGTCGCTTGTCTTCACACAGAGTCCGACTGACACACACACACACACACACACTGTCTGACTGAGACACACACACACACAGTCTGACTGACACACACACACACACAGTCTGACTGACTGACACACATGGGCTTCCTGGTGGTTTTCCAGTGGAGGAGTGATGTGCTAATTACTTGGGTAAGTGATTAGGTAAAGGGGAAAATTGGTGGGTTATTCCTCAAAATGGTCCAGGTCCCACCCGAGCACCCCACCCTCTCCTCAGCAGCCACTGGCCTGATTCACATCCCCCGCCTGCCCACCCCGCCATCCACGGACAGGTTTTCGGCCAATCTTTGGAACTCCATCGCGGAATCCCTTTGCCTCCTTCAAAGTCTGTCTCAAGACCTTCCTCTTTGACCGTGTCCTTCGGTCATTCACCCCACACCTTGCCCCCACCCCACAACAATCCCAATCCCAGCTCAGGTACAAACCATTGACTGTCCAGTGCCTTGGGACATCCTTCCAATGTGAAAGGCACTGTATAACTGCACCTTGGTGCATATTGTTACACGAGACACTATAAGGAATCCTTCAATTTTTCCCTTTGGGCTAAATATTACAAGCGCTGGTTATATTTTAGTTTGGGTGTTAACCCCCTGAGGGTGGAAGCAAATCATCACAGACTTAGAAAGAAAAAACCTGCGTTTTCTATATTATCGATATCTGTGAAACCCCTCAGAACCTCTCACAGATCATCACACACCGAGTTTGGGGAACGGGGAATGCGATGCCACAGAAGGCAAAATCCCTTAGGAAAGGCAGTGTAGAAATGTAATTGACGTTGTTGATTGGATTAATTCAGGTATAAGAGGAAAATGCAGAGCTGCTTAAACATAATAATCTTACGTTTGGTTTAGAGTTCATCAAATCAAAATAACGCAAAGCATTTAATGCTTCAGATCAAGGTGTCAGCCGGGCTCGGTTGGTATCTCTGTTGTGTCTTGAGCCAGAAGCTTGACTGTTCTCCTGTGCTGTAACTGTAATAGATCACTGTTCCTCGTTGTTACGTGATGTTTTCTCCATGGTCCGCAATGATTCATAGAATCATAGAATTATACAGTGCAGAAGGAGGCCATTCGAACCGTCGTGTCAGTGCCAGCTCTTTTAAAAGAGCTATGAAAACCAATTCCACTGGTCCTGACCCTCTCAGGGACCAATACCTTACAGAGGTTGAAGTGATGCTGGAAACTCATCGATCCTCACGTTGTACTTTTCCTCAATGTCTTTTTTGATTTCACTCCACGGTATGTTCCAGTCATCAATGCGTGTCGCTGGCTTCACTCCGTATTTCTTTGCAATACTTTTGTTATGGGTGTAGAAGACCCATTTCCAGTAGGGGGGCACCCCAGTATCCCTGCTTTTGGGGATGTTCCATGAATCCCGAATAGATAACTGTGATTTCCACCAGGGATCTTCTTCTCGGTATAAACGCAATGCAATATAGGATGTATCTGAACAACTGTTGGTTACAAGAGTCTTCCCAAAGGTCCAGCGATACCCCCTTAGTCCCTCTGGCAAGTGATAATTTGCCGAGTGCTTCTCGTGATTGTGGTCGGTGCAATCACATAAAACTCCACAGTAAGGACATTGCTCCCCACAGCCAGACAGCATGTCATACAGCAACTTCCATGGAGCTACAGGAAGCTCTGAGACTTTGGATCTGACATTCCATCCCTTAATGGTATTTGAAAGATCATTTTTCAAACCATTGGCCAAACCTTTCAATTCATCCACAAAACATGGAGCGTTTGTCACAATGTCCTGATTGGTGAACGTGTCCTGAGGTAACACAATTATTCCTTCCATTGCTTTCCTGAACTCAGTCAGAAAGGTCCAGGCTGTCAATTCTTTGTGGGTTTCAATGTCTCGGATTGCTTTCTGTATTGAATGTACAGCTGGTTCCAGAATACCCATAGCCAGATTGTGAAGGAGCGTTGCTTCCTGCTCTGAGTTTTCACAGTACCTCAGGAGTTGCTCTTCCACCCAATCCTTCTCAAACTTGTGGGTATTGTCGATATATTGACAATAGTTATCAAAGCAGTTTTTCTTTTTCAAATCCAACATTATCCCCACTTGTAGGTTCCTGCGAGACTTGAATTCTTCTGCCCTTTGCGTGCTCTTAATATAACCCACAATGGCCCGTCCCAGTTTCTGATTAAGATCTTCCATCAGTGCTGGTTTGATGCAGGTATCAAGGTATAATTCAGCACAGGATTGACTTTGATCTTTCTCATTGTACAGATTTATAAGGAACTGTTTGTAGCAATCCTTATCTGCTTTGAAAACAAGTAAGGGATCATTTTTTTCTCGGAAAGAATCGTGTATCTCTTGGAATCTCTGAATTGCAACGCGACAAATGTGACATTTGAAATCTATCGTAAACATTTTGGTGAAACTCAATGTTGGAAACTTTGGTGAAGCCGAATGTTTCAAAATCTTGTCCAAACTTCGGAGAATTTTTGGGCAATATTTGGGATCATAATCCATTTCTTGTTGTATCAACTTCTCCATTTCATCTTGGCTTTTGGAGATCATTTCATCTGCCTGTCTTTGTGCTTCTTTCAAATATTTTGGGAGATCTGATTCCTTCTTGGATTCTTTGGAAATGAACGTAGGTGCACAGTCATGCAGAGATTTCACATCAATATGCTTCTCACTGACTTTGAACTCCAACTTTCCCAACACTGGCTCATCAAGACATTTGTCTTTAAGTTGCTTGTGTAAGTTGCCTCCATGTGTCTTCATGTTCTCCCTCAAACTTATTTCCATGTCCAAGGGAATGTTGGCTACCTTTGGTTGATAGATTTCCAGTGAAGAAATGGCCTCAGTCCACATGGTTTCAAAAGCCTCAAGCAGCTCACTGTCATCCTGGTCTTTTGTTTTCTGTTTCAAAGACTGAACGAGCTGAGTGACTTGATAAAAAACTGATTGAAAATATTCATCCTTGATAGCTTGCAGTTTCTTCCTACCTTCTTGTTTCTGCTCTTCATTCTTCCATTGTTTATGTGAATCCTCCTCAAGCTTATTACATAAGATGTCAATGTTCATCTTAAACTGGTCTTTGTAATCCTGAATCAGATGGGCTTTCTTATTCTGTGCGCTGAACCAATCTTCCAATGTTTTGATAACTTCGGCTTTCGTTGTTTCCATCACTTCCAGCAGCTCATTCCTTAACACGGCCAACAAATTCTCAGGATTCTTTTCTTCGGTTTCGATTCTCTTCTGAGCCTTGTCCATAAAATCATAGACCATTTTTCGTAGTTCCCATTCCAGATCACTGTACTTGACAGAAAGGTCATTGTAAGCATCAACCTCAAGACAATTCCGGAAACTGAAGATGAAATTTTCGTGCTTCACTGCATTCCACAGGTTTGTGAAGTTTCTTATAAACTGAGTGACTGTGGACGCATTTCTCGCCGTGAAGTGATCCAAAACACATTGTTTCAACTCCACCACCTTCTGGCTATACCCGATATTGACTGCAGCCATTGGGGGGTTCCCATGCCACAGCCCTGGGATATACCAGTTATCTTTATCAGGATTGTAGTCTATAATATCAGAGAATTTAGAGAATGAACCTTCTACTTTCTCCATCTTAGCTGCAATCGAGGTCATCTTGTCTAAGTGGTCGTTCCAGCGTTTTCGATTAATCAAGTTCTGTTCATGTGCAGAAACGTCCCCAGTGTTTTGATGGACAAATTGGCAAATGGGTTTCTTGCCCACTTCTGACATGCGGATAAACGAGTGGACCACTATTTGCAGCACATCCTCCATTTCTGAGGCGCTCTCCGTGGACATGTTAATTAAAGTTAAATCACTCATTCCAATCACTAAGGTTGCCAGCTCATTGTCGTGTTCATGGGTGCCTCCAATATCAGACACTTGTTGTTTCAGGCCCTCTGTGTCAATGACCAGGATGAAATCACAGCCAAGTTTGGTCTTCAAATCTCCCACAATTGGAATGAGTTGGATGAAAGCTCCTCGTGTGCACCGTCCACTGCTTACAGCAAACTGCAACCCAAACATGGTGTTGAGAAGTGTGGACTTCCCAGTGCTCTGTACTCCCAACACTGTCAGCACAAAGACCCGACATTCTCCTCCCTTCATCCTTTCCACTTGTTTGAACACCTCAGTGACCCAGTCCACAGCTACACCACAAACATCTCCATCTATGAGCTCCAGTGGGAAGCCATCTAACAGCAGCTCAGCAGCAATCACTGGAAGCTTTGAGATATTGGGGGAGATTTCACTCAACGCCTTGAATGTTTCGTAAACAAGCCCGATTTCACGTAGGAAGTGTTCCAGCCCTAATGAGCTCCCTACTATCTTTGTATCAAAGTCTTTCAGAACTTGTTGATTCTCTAATCTTTTCGACAGTTGCTTGTATTCTGCCTTCAAATCAGAGAGAATTTCCCGTGTCCTATAATCCAACTCATATTTCATCAAGTACAAGAAATGTTTCCTCCCATCTCCAGAGCTTGTAACAAATTTTTCAATAAACTTACCCACCACTTCTGATGTCCCTTTCTGTAACAATTTCTTCTGAATTTCTCGTATTCTTTTCTTCAGTTTATCAGTGTATGTGGCCACACTGTCTTGTCCTACGTCTCTGAGGCAACAAATCTCCTTTTCTATTTTGGATATTTGTATCCACTTATCGCCTTGAAAATACATCTTGTTTCTTTTGAACTTTGCAATCTCTTTTGTTGGAAGGAGAGGAAGAATAGTTTCTGAGATTCTTTTCCCTTCTTTACATTCATTGTCATCTTCATCTACATCCAACCCAACCTGTCGAGCACAGGAAGCCATCTCAGCCAAACTCTTTGGTTTCTCTGAGTGTCTATTGATGTCGTTCAATATAGCATTTATTTCCTTCTGAACATTTAACAACAAGGTGAAATCATTTGTCTGCCTCCTTGATAGAATATGGTTCATTGTGATTCCCCATTCTTGGGACAATCTCTTCAAATGCTGATTTGTGGTCTCCAATTGATTTTTCTCAGGATTCACAATCAGATATAGTTTCTGTGGATTAAGGGACAATCTGGACAAGGCACTTGCTTCCACTTCTGTGATATTATCCACACAGACAAATACAGCAGTTGAGACACTAGCTAAGAAGCTCACTTGCGTGGGAAAGGTTGCCGCATCTCCTCGCAGGTTCATCACAGTAAGAGCATTGGGGAAGATGTCCATGTGCTCTATTGCTCCGGGCAGATACCAGCAAGCCTCGACCAGCCCATCTGAGACCCTGCGGGGGACATCAGCACATTCCATGTTGGAATGGATGAAGAAATTGTGGTGTTGCTGAGAGTGACTGAGAATGTCATTTAAGAGTTTGGATTTAGACCTGGAGCAGCGACCCAGGCGAATGAATGCAATGGTTGGAAGATTGGCAGAGATCACTTGTGTTTCTATGAATCTATTTTGATTTTGTAACTCACGAGGACACCATCTTTTTACAAGAGAACACATAGACCTCAGGAGAAACAGGATCTTTCCCTCTGTCCCAGGCACCAGAAGAGGTACTGCAAACTGACATGTGGACATCTTCATGACCAGCTCCTGTTTGAGGAAGGGATCTGCACATAGGAATATTGCAGTGATGACATCTAATGGGTTAAAGCTCGTGGTTTTTGTAGGCTCTTCAGAAAGATCACCAATTTTATCACTCACAGTTGATCCCATTGATTGACATTTTATGGATCTCGCCATAAAATTTGCATTTATTAGTTTCATGAAGAAGTACCAGGGAATATCCTCAGGATCTCTGGGTAACCTATCTGGCAGTGGTTCTGCTCTGATCTGCAGCATTTTGTTCACAGTTAGCTTCCGGGGAAAGAATTCCTGCAATCCCAGTACTGTTAGTAATTGGTTATATACACTGTCTTTACATGACACACTCATTTCTGTGTCCAGCACACACGAGAACGAGGAAGGCTTCTCACTATGAAAATAATTCACTATAGATTTTTCTTCAACCTGTTTCTGTCCAATTTCACACCTGCTTTTCAAACATTGACTGGGAGAATGTATTGTCATTCTTTGATTAGGACATTCTCCCAGACTTTCAGTTGGCAATGAATTACCATTATCACTGAGTGGTCGCTCACCTTCACAAAGCTCCCCTCTGTCTTCACTAACTGCAAATCCTATGTCTCTGGCCACCTCGGCCATCTCCTCCAAGCTCTTCTCTGGATAATCATCCTTTCCCAGCGAGTCTTGGAGTTTAGCTCGAAGCTCTCGGATGAACATTGCATTGGTTTTTTGGAATTTGGATACAATCCGCTTCTCGGAAAATAAGTTATCTCTGACCAATTTCTTAAGATTCAGTTGTGTGACTTCAAGATCAGTGGAGTTGGGATTGACTAACATGACGAGCTTCTTTGGAGATTGGATGAGTGAAGTCAGAACTTTTTTTATTTTACTGTCCACATTGTCCACACAGACAAACACAACAGCTGAGATTCCAGTCAAGTAGCTCACATGCTTGGGAAACTGTGTAGCATCTCCACGCAGGTTCATCACAGCCAGAGCTTTGGGGAAGCTTTTCAGCTCCTCTGTCACTCCGGGCAGGTACCAGCACACCTCAATCAGCCCATCTGAGATCCTGCGGGGGACATCAGCACATTCCATGTTGGAATGGATGAAGAAATTGTGGTGTTGCTCAGACTGACTGAGAATGTCATTTAAGAGTTTGGATTTAGACATGGAGCAGCGACCCAGGCGAAGGAACGCAATGGTTGGAAGCTTTGCATTAGTTATGTGTTGCTCTCGAGGTCCAAGTTTCATTGCCTGAGGGTGGTACTTTTTCACAATGAAACATAAGGGCCCCAGAAGAAACATTGGGGACTCTCCGAGACCTGGCAGGAGAAGTGGTAATGCAAAGTGGCTCATCGACATCTTACTCAACAGCTCTCGTTGGAGGGAGGGATCCGCACACAGAAAGATAGCGGTGATGACATCTAAAGGGTGAAATGCTATCTCTTGGGACATCAGACTGCCTGGAGGAGAATTCAATCCATCAGTGGCCTTTCTGTCCTCTTGTGCACAGTCCAGGATTGTCCCAATTGGTAGGGCCCTAGCGTTGGTATCAACCTTCATCACCATCCTCAGGAAATATCTGGGAATCTCCTGAGGAGCGATTGGTCGATTCCCCATAAACGGCTCCTTCCCGAGCTCCAAGACATTGTTGAGGGAGAGTTTGTTGGGATAAAAGTCCTGTAGCCCCAGGTCTGTTAGTAGCTGATCAAGTCTCCTAAGTTCAACAGAATTGGAAAATAGTACAGAGCAACGGTTTCCAATTGAACTCTCCATCTCTGAATTTATTGTTCAGTTTGGGACTACCTTGCACATGACATGGACTGGATGGCCTGGCTGGGCTTCTCCTCTTCTATGTTTCCATGGAGAAGGTAACAACTCAATGTGTGCACCTGTTCTCCTCATTAGCAAATCACCCACTGAATCTTCATCTTCACTGAGGTTCCAGTGATGCCAGTTTTTCCTATAACATAAAGAGTGTAACACACCTTTCATTAATCCGCTGACATCAATGTAACATCAGACATGTATATTTACCATGAAATTGTGACGAAAAGTTTCACTCTAACATTTCAATAAATAAAGATGAATTTTGTAACTCCTTCCATCTCCCCCTCCACAATTCCTAGTGGCTCAGTAATCTTACGCAGTGAATAATACATTTAAACGCAGCATCTATAATGTGAAGACATCCCAAATGCCTCATGGGGAATCGTTGTAAAGTGTAGAAACTGTAGTTTTAGGCAGAAAGGTGTAAAACAGCCAATTCCCATCACCAATAGAAACAAAACAACAAGAACTCGTTGAACTTGGATACAACCCCTTTCATTCAGGCAGTGTCTCAGAGCGCAAACAGCCGGGAGGAAATACTAGGGAATGTCCTCAGGAGCGTTGCGTATCTTTCTGGCAGTGGCTCTGCTCTGATCTCCAACACTTTGTTCACAATTAGCTTCTGGGGAAAGTATTCCAACAACCCAAGTTCTGTTAGCAATTGGTTTCCAATTGAAGACTTCAACTTCTGAGTAACTGTTACCATTGAGGTTGGTAACTAATTTGCAGATGACATGGACCAGATGGAGTGAAAATCACAACTATATACAATAACAAACCACACGCTGGCTCTTCATCTTCACTGAGGATCTACTGATGCCTGTTTTTTCCTATAGAATAAAGAGTGCAACATATCTTTCATTCAGACTCTGGTAGCCAAAAGGTTGGACTACCCCATATATAGTTCATTAGTTAACGCTTTCTCCTCCCGCCCCCGTCCGGTCATTGTGGTATAGACCAGGGCTCGGTTCCCTGCACTTTCTCATGTATATATGCTTCCTCTCAGCGATTTCATCCGCAGAAACATGGTCAACTTCTGCATATATGCGGATTACACATGAATCTACTTCTCCTCCAGCTGCAACTCCAGGTCCACCGATATTCTGTTGGCTTGTCTGGCAGGCATCAGGGCCTGGATGAGTGCAAACTTCTTACAACTAAATGTTGACAATAAGGAAGCCATACTCCTCAACTCCCATCAATTTCTTCTGTCCTGCGGCTCTGACCACCACAACCTCCCAGGTCTATCCCTCAGACTCATCAAACTCCTGCGTAACCTGGGGTCAGGTTCGACCCACAGGAGTCCTTCCCCACATCTGCTCCCTGACCAGGATCGCCTTCCTCCACCTACACCACATTGCCGGTCTCCAACCATGTCTTACACACCAGTCGCAGCCGAAACATGCATTTGTCATCTCCCGACTCGACTTTTCAATGCCCCCCTCCCCAGTCACCCCAGCTCCACCCAATCCAAAACTATACCACCTGAATACTCACCTGCACTATACTCCGTACCCCATCATGCCAGTTGTAGCCAGGCTCCACTGGCTCCCTTTCACTGAATGGATCAATTTCAAGATCCTCACACTCATTTTCAAACCCCTTGATGCCCTGGCACCTCCCTGTCTCTCCGACCTGCTTACTCCTCAACTCGATACCTGGGAATCTGCTCAACTGGCTGCGCTGTCCTCATGCCCTCTGTTCCATCATGGGTGGCTGCAAATCTCTGGAACAGTCTCCATTTATCCCACCGTCTTGCCTCTTCCTTCCCCATCCTCAGATCACACCTGAAGACTGCCCTCTTCGACCATGTCTATGGTCAGCTCCCCCTCCCCCCAGCTCGGTGTTGTGCTCCGCCACTGTCGAGCGCTCTGGGCTGTGAGAGGCGCTATATAAATGCAAGTTGTTGTAGTTGTTATTTACAGCATTTAAAACATTGTCATTTGAGTACAATAATGTAGCAACGAGCTCAACAGAATAATAATGGAGTCCTGTAGCTCAGTGGTTAGAGCACTCGCTTTGCAAGCGAGAGACCCGAGTTCAATTCCAGGCAGAGGGCCAAACCTTGGGCAAGTTTGCTCACTCCACCCAGAGCCTCATAATATTCCCTCCAAAAAAACAAAAAACAATAATAAATTGGTCATTTTCAATCTACGACTGGGACACTGTGTGCGCAATTGGTTGTGGAATAAGGAAACTTGACCAGGGTTTCGCCTGCCTGGAATTGAACCCAGGTGTCCTGCTTGCAAGGATTGTTGGCCAGGACACCAGGAGAAATTCCCTTTTCTTTTTTGAATGGTATCTCCACCTGAACATGCAAAGGACCGCAGTTTACAACAACTTTTATTTATTTAGTAGCCCTCACTCAGAGCATCCCAGAGAACTTGACAGTGACGGAGTACGACCTCAAGCCAGGTTGAGGGGGAGGTGACCATAGGAACGGTCGAATAAGAATGTCTTCGACCTGCAGATGAAGGGCAAAGTGGAGGGATAGAGGCACAATTTAACATCTCACCCAAAGGACACAAACTCTGACACTGCAGCACATCCCCAGCTCCGGCATAGACTATGTGATTCCATGTTCCGACGTGGAGTTTGACCCACATTCTTTTGACTCATAGGCAAGAGTGCTACCAACTGCCAAGAGGCCCTTCTCTCTCTTCCCACCCCACCACCATCTCAGGCCCACTCTCCCCCACCTACAGTCTCTCCTCCCCCACCTCAAGCCTATCCCACGACCCCACCACATGGTCTGTCTCTCCCCCCATCTCAGGTCTCTCTCGCTCCCCCACTTTAGGCCTCTCTCCCACCATCCCCCACCTCAGGGTGGAGGGAACAACAACAACAAACCATGTATGTATATAGTGCCCTTCATGTGGGGTCGTGTCCCAGAGCATTGACAGTGTGGGGGTGAGTCTGACCCTGAGCCAGGGTGAGAGGGAGTGGGGAGGTGACCATAAGCACGATCAAAAAGAAAGGTCTTCAGGTGGGACTGACCAACCAGTAGAAAGAATTCATATTTTTGCTTGAGTGTAAAACAGGAAGCCCGCACTTGAGCACCAGATGGGCTAAAATGATAGTAACATTTCAACTGTGCAAGAGGAAGCTGTGGGTGAAGAGAGATGGTGGGACCGCACTCAGAGTATATAAATATAAGAAGCTCCCCCATCTCTCCTCCCCTCCATGGACTCCTTACCCCGAAGAGCTGTGTAATTCCCCCTTGAATGTGCTGACAGAAGCTGCTTCCCCCACCGCCCGCCTGCCTGGCTTGTCCTGCCCACACCCTCTCTGCTCTGTGTGTAAAGTCACACAATCTGAGCTGCCTCCCTCATCTGAGGATATGGATCAGCTTCAGTGTGTGCATTCTAGCTTCTGCCTCTGACCCGAGCTGTTTTACTCCAAATGCCCCCATCCCTGACTCCTACCAATCATTACTCCTGCTTGGTGCTCCTCTCCTACCATCCTCTCCACCTCCTGTCCGCACTTGACCATCCCACAGCCTCTGTCTGCTCCAGTTGAATGTCAACAAGCCCACAGCCTGCCTGCTTAATAATAATAATCCTTGCATTTGATATAACCCCGAAACTCTGGAACACTCTCCCTCAATCCTTCTGCCATGCCCCCACTCTCTCCTACTTCAAGTCCTGCCTGAAATTGTTCCTATTCGACCATACTTATGGTCATCTCCCACGCCCACCCCGGCTTGGAGTCAGGATCGCAATTGTTAAGTGCTCTGAGATGCTATTCTGTGTGGAGGGCGCTACGTCAGTACAAGTTTTTGTTGTTATCACCTCGTTGAGAGTCTCAAAGTTTAACTGTCAGTGCCTCCTTACATCAGGCACGAGAGCATCACCATCCATGGATGCACTCATCACCTCACTGTAGCAACTTGTTTGACCCTCAGCTGTCCTTTATAAACCATATTTATGCCATGACCTGTTGTGCCTTCCCCCACCTCCGCCACATCACCTGGCTCCATCCCTGCCTTTCCCATCAAGCTGCCGAGACCCTCATCACATCCAGGGCTCAGTTACGCTAACTCCCTGATTGTCAATCTTCCAAACTCTTCCCTCCACAAGCTACAGATCGTACAGAACTCTACAGCTCGTGTCCTCTCCTGCACTCGGCTCTGTGAACCTCCTCCCAACATCAAAGGCGCTATAGAGCGTCTCGTTTTCAGCTTCTGACGGGGGCTGGAGAGTGTGCGAAGTGTGAGATGGAGAGCAAAGGCAGCAGATGAGGAGAAAGCTAACAAAGTAGAAATAAAAGTTTCACAAAAAACGGAGCAAAATAAAACGGTGAAGGAACAGAGATTGGGAAGAGAAGGCCACCCGCACAATGCAATGCAGTTGTTCTGTGTTGGTGCCATTTTGTCAGTTGTGATGCAGATTAAATCTGTAACATGTCTGACTGAGTAAGTCTGACCGAGGTCTGCCTCGGAAGTGTGGGAGCGGTGCTAAAAGCGGAAAGCACAACAATCAAAATATCTTCCTGAGAAACGTTAAACACAACACCAAAGATGACAAACTATTTTAATAAGATACCAACAAATGTTTGAGGAGGTGATCACAGCCGTCCTTCAGAAAATACTTCTGTGATGAATCAACAGCAGGAAATGATCAACACTGATAGACCACAATGTGAGTTACTGGCAAATCCTTGCTTTACATTCTCCAGTGAGTCGGTTGTAGAAGAGAGTGCAATCACCGCACGTGAAGGGCAAGGAAAAGAATTAGTGGATAAAATCGATTCATATTGTCCTGATGCTGCACTCGGGCCCAGAAACTTTGAGGGAAAGAGGCGATGACCTGTAGGAAAGTGAAAAGCCCTTACCAGTGATCCCTGCTGTTAGTTCTCTGCTGGTTTTCTGGAGTTTCCCCGATTCCGTGACCACCTCCTGACTGCAGCCGCCCACCTCTGGCTGAGAATCTCTACTTGTGCAGCAGAGACTGAAAGTGAAACCAATATTTCAACAACTTCAAGATCTTAAAAGAAAGCATTTATCTGCGGGTACAAGAGGAAGCTGGAGGGTGGTGTGGTGGTGGGAGTCGGGCCACACTCTCTGTCTCTCTTCCCTCGCTGCCCCTGTGATGGTGAGCCCTGAGCGGCTGACTTGTCTGATGTTCGAGGGCGGTGGTTCAGAACCTCTCTTCTGTTATCCACGTTCCCTCATCTATGCCTTCATTATGTCCCGGCTTGACTTCGCTAACTCTCTGCTCGCCGGACTTCCCAACTCTTCCTTCCACAGGATGCAGATTATTCAGAACTCTACAGCTCGTGTCCTCTCCCGCACTAAGCTTCATGACCCAATGGCCCAATCTTCTCCCAGATTTGCTGACTCCCCATCCCCCATTGTTCAAGATCCTCGTTCTCACCTTTGAAGCCTTCAATGTTTCCTCCTCCCTATCTCTACGACCTGCTTAAACTTTACCAACCTGTCGGCTCTCTCCGCCCAGAGGGCACTGACCTGCTCCAAGTCGCCTGCCCGGCCTGCATCACATCAATCGGCTGTTCAGCCTTTCTGCCTCCACCCTCTGGCTCACCCACTCCCTTGCCTCCTTCAAGGCCCGTCTCAATAACTCTTCGAGCGTGCCTTCATTCAAGCTCCCATCCCCACCCGCCTTGCCCTCCACCCCTCTTGATTCCAGAAACCCAGCTCGCGTGCTCACCGTTCACTGTCCTGCGATGTCCTCCCAATGTGAAAGGTGCTTGTGTACATGCAATTTGTTATTCTCACCCTTTTCTGGCAATTGTTCTCCTCCTCCCCCTCTCCCACCCCTCCCCAATCCAACCCCCAGCTCGGGTGCAAACCCTTAACTGTCCAGTGCCTTGGGACATCCTCCCAACATGAAAGGCGCTGTATAAACGCAACTTGTTGTATGAATATACTTTAAGAATCCTGTAATTTTTCCCATTGTGCCTACGGCTTCGCCCTATCCAGAAATCAAATCCAGGTTCTCTCGCTTGTGAGGCGAATGCTGTAACCACTGATCTGCAGGCCTCCACTGGCTATTGGTGGTGTAGTGACTGTGTATTTTGTAGACGAACACGGCAGCCAATTTGCACACGGCAACGTCCCCGCAGATAGCCATGAAATGAGCGAACGATTTTATTTGGCAGATTGTCGGCCAGGACAAGGCAGAGATGATTATAGGAAATTCTGGCACTTTAACACAGTCATCTTGAAAGGTAACGTTTGACTGAAATTACCTTTAGCTGTCAAAGTAATTAATCATATCCACGGCACAGCGCTGGAGCTCTCTCGGGGACGGCAGCCAGGCATTGAGAGGGTGAGAAGCACAGGTTTCGCAATTATTACCTGCTGTTGTAACAGCCTGAAGCATTCAGTATAATGTCACACACTCGCGCAGGGGGNAAAAAAATTATTTGCCAGCAACGTTGTCGTGTGTGAATTGACACTTTGACGTCTGAAATCACGTGGTAATAATAATAATAATAATAATAATAATAATAATAATCCTTCCATTAGATATAGCACCTTATCTTGTCTTTGTGACATGTTAAAGAGTAATGGTTTCTAAAACCCTATAATTTGCAGTTTGGTCATGAGGGCTTCACGAGGCACTAGGATGCTCACTTACTCAGATAGAATCCGTCAATCACTTCTCGGCTGTTTGCGGGGACATTTGCTGTTCACAAATTGGCTGCTACTTTCACTTACGAAATACACAGGCACCGCACCTCATAGCGAAGCACTTTGAGACAGGGTAAGGAGTGATATCAAATGTAAGGATTATTTATTAAATCACTCAACTCTAACTTTAAGATCGCGACCATTTGGTTTTGATTATTCTGTACTGTCCTGTATAGTGGTTAGAGCATTCGCCTCGCAAGCGAGAGAATTCCCAGACTGGGCGAAACGTTGGGCAAGTTTCCTTGCTCCACGCACACACATCTCTGTTCACCTACCAATCCATTTGTTCATCAACCATTTGTCCGGGGATAGAAATCCCTTACAAAAAAATTGGTCACTCAATCCACAACTGCTGTGCGCAATTGGCTGCCGCATTTCGCCCGTAAAATACACAGTCACCCCACTTTACAGTATATTCTGTGAAGCGCTTTGAGACGTCTCTAAGATGGGATAAAGCGCTGCATCAAATACAAGGATTATTGTTACTATTGTCCACCTTAATGGTCCAACCCAAAGTAAGACAAATGATAAGAGATTGGTTGAGAGATGCCAGCCCGGGCCGCGATTGTCACCGGAAGCTTTTCTTGTCATCGTGGGGGTGTGTGGGGGGGGATTAGAACAAGAATGGGAGGGGGGGGAGGAGGTGGAAACGAGATTGAGATGTGAGACCAGATCCCTCACAAGGGTTTACACCCACGCTTGGGGTTGGATCTGGGCGGAGGGTGAGACAAGAGCAGGTGAGGAAAGAGAACTGAAGGCGTGGTCAGAGGAAGATCTTGAGAGGAACGTTGAAAAAGATGGACGGACGGACGGATGGGCAGACGTGGCCTGGCAGGAAAGCTATTTCTCTCCCACAAAATATACAGTCAATCCACTGGACAATATATTCGGAGACATCGCAACGGCGTGATAAGGCTCTATATCAAATGCAAAGACTATTATGACTATTATTATACAGCCATTATCTGTGCTCGTAAGTCCAATGGTCGATCACGTGTCAAGACACATGAGTGTAATCGAGATAGGGTCATCTTCTGGTTACTGAGAGTGGGAATTTTTACTGAATCTTCCCTCCAGTAAGGCCTGTCCTCCCGACATGAAAGGCACTATATAAACGTAAATTATATAATTGCCAAGAACTGCTCTTTCTAAAAAATGGTATTTAATTACCAAACAGAACCCCCCCACCCCACCCAATGGTTTAGCCCACACCCAGCTGCCGCCACTGTTGCCGCTGTCAGATCTGCTTACAGTTTGTGCTAATTATCACCAAATGCGTTTTGCACCTCGATATCTTATGTACTATTGCCGGGTCCCAGTGGAACGTATTAAAATTTCAATTGAGTGATAAAAATAAGATCCTTGACACCAGTGATGACATTCCCGTCACATCCAATGATCCAGAGCTGTACAAACTGCCTGGCGTTGATGTTAGGAGTGTGTTACGTACCAGGCAAATCGCAACTTTCTCTGCTTTTTAAGCGAAGTTCTGTGCTCATTAAGTTGAGGGATGTTGTGCTTCAAAAAGGAACGTGTTTGCATCTCGGCAACGGAGCTCTCCCCACTCGGGAGAGGGAAATTTAGATGTTCAGCGTAGCTCCCACTGCTCCACCCAAAAGCTAAAGAAGGTAGAGAAGGAGCATAATAATAATAATCCTGACATTTGATGCAGCGCCTGGTCACGTTGTCGAGACGTCTCAAAAGCGCTTCACAGGATACACTGTAAAGTGTAGTGACTGTGTACTTTGTGGGCGAAAAGCGGCAGCCAATTGCGCACAGCGACGTCCCACACAAACAGTGGTGGATTGAGTGACCGCATTATTATTTATTGTTTATGTATTTGCTCGGCAAATCTAAATAAATAAGTAAACAAACAAACAAACAAACAAACCCCGTTGTGCGTCGATTAGCGGGTCACTTTCCCGGGTTAATAATCCCTTCAAGAACAAAGAAATAATAATTTGGTCACCCAATCCACGGCCGTTGGTGGGGACGCTGCTGTGCGCAGTCGGCGGCCGCGTTTCGCCCGCAAAATACACAGTCACTACACTTTACAGTACATCATGTGAAGCGCTTTGAGACGTCTTTAATGACATGATAAGGCGCTGTATCAAATGCGAGGATTATTATTATTATAAAAGTTGAGGTTGTGGACAGTGTTGCTCTTCCCAGTACTGGAGCACCAGTCTGGGCTGTGATGTCAGGTCCCAAGAGTGGGGTATCTTAAATAACAACAACAACTTGCATTTATATAGTGCCCTTCGCGCTGGGTAGGATCCAGAGCGCTTGTCTCCACACCCCTCAAAGGGGAACCAGGGAGCTGACGGAGGCATTGAAATAAGTGCTAAATAGACACTCCATTTCGTTGAGCAAAGCATAAAGCGTTTTTTTTTAAATCCTCCTGTTGGTAGNAAAAAAAATCATATTTAGCATAACGCTGAGGCAGCTTCGGGCTGTGTGATCGTTTTTCCATTCCCTCTACGGGGCTTGAAAGAAGATAGCAGAACAAATCCCCGAAGCATTGGTTTGCTTTGGCCTTGTTCTATATCTCTCTCTCTCTCTCTCTCTCTCATTTTTATTGGTGAGTTTTTACTTTGCGTGTGGAGAGTCTGTGACTGAAGTTAAAAACACAAGAAGAGAGAGAAAAAAGCATCGCTTCCAATACTTAATGCCTAAGTGGAGTCCTGTATCTTAGTGGTTAGCCCACTTGCCTCGCAAGCGAGAAGACCTGGGTTTGATTCCCGGGCAGGACGAAACGTTAAGCAAGTTTCCCCACTCCACATATTTACCTCGGTTGTTAGTCGATTGGCGGATCGCTTTTCCGGGGATAATAATCCCTTCCAAACAACAAAAAATAATTTAGTCACTCAGCACATGACTGTTTGCGGGACACTGCTGTGCGCAATTGGCTCCGATCACTGTATAGTATGTCCTGTGAAGCGCTTTGAGACGTCTCGAAGGTGCGATAAGGCGCTGCATCAAGTGAAAGGATTATTATTATTCTGATAAAAGTTGTCGTTGTTGATGGCACCTCCAGCAATGCAGAGAGTCGCTCTCCACAGAGTTTTATGTAAAGTGTGGTGCTCCCCACGGACAGACACACACATCGCCAGCGACTGTGCTATAACGAGGGCTCATCGTACTGTGTTTTTATGGGAGAATGCCACAGCCGATTTGCGCACAGCTGTGTTCCACAAACAGCCATGAAGTGACCGACCAATCTTACCTGGAAGATTGTTGACCAGAACACCGGGAGACGGAGAAACTCCCTTCTCTCTTTTCAGTAGCGCCGCAGGCTCTTTAACG